GAGTGCTGTACAGATGCCGTGGCAGTTGCTTCAAGTTTATAAGGGATTCATTCGTCCTAACTTGGAGTACTGCTATCATATCTGGGGTGGCTCTTCTTCTGTCCATCTGTTAGATAGGGTGGAATCAAAGGCATTTCGTCTTATTAACTCTCCTCCTTTAGTTAATAATCTCTCTTCCCTTTCTCTTCGCCGCAATATTACTTCATTCTCTCTCTCTCTTTTACAGGTGCTTTAACGGGCAATGTCCGATTGATTTGGCATCCTGTGTACCGCTGGCAAGGCTGTGGGCTCGTAACAATCGTCATGCCCGCGGTGCCCCCCGTTTCTGTGTAGATGTCGATCACACTAGAATAACCCTTTAGTACATCCTTCTTTCTTAACACTGCCAAGCTGTGGAATGCTCTGTCTTCTGTGTTTCCATACTTATACAATTTGTCTCACTTCAAAATTATAGTTTTCCGGCATCTTTGTAGTGTAGATTAATTGTTTATTTTACTCTTTTATTTTTAATTTATTTTTATTCTTATTTTTTCGCCCCCTAGACCCCGTTTTGGGTCAATGACCTGTGCCTGGGTGGGCTCGTCCCCGTAAAAAAGAATAAATAATAATAAATAAGAAGTAATATATACAGTATGTATATATGCATATATATGAAATACCTCACTAGTCGAGAATCGAACCCTAGACAACAAAATTAATACTAGACTTTGTTCTATTCTTCACAAAGTCTGTTCAACGTGCTTGTTAAGCACCGTGAACCTCCATTGGGGATTGCCCCTGCCAACTATGTGGTCGGAGTAGTAGAGGGGCAGCTAAATGCAATTTTTCAAGAGAATCATGCAAATGGTGATACAAGCACCAAATTTGGCATGGTAATTCTCTAATTGTTACTAGTCAAGTCTGCCTGATTGGCCATTTAAAAATCCAAGTTGGCGGCCACTTTTCAAGATGGCCGCCATATTGACCTTCAAAAGTTTTTTTTTTATAGAAATTGATGCAGTTAGTCAATCTGAGTGATCTTGGTGTCGATATGTATGTTTTCAAGCATGTTCAGATGATTTTTTTAATAGTTTTAAGTCCATTGAAACATTTTTATCCACATAAAATAACACTTTTAGTAAAAAAATATAACAAAAAAGAACTTACTAAAAAACAAAGTACTCACTATTAGCACTGGTTCCTGTGACTTCTCCTGACAGTACATCTTTGTGCATTTACTGCTGTTCACATATGCAGCTGCAAAGTGCTGTGCAGGAAAGTCCAGAGCGAAAGAATTTGCATCTCTGGTTGCAGTCTTTCTTACAGGAACATTTGGTCAGCTCCTGACAGCATGTCGCAATCGGGGGAAGAGTTGTCTAACGTATCTGCCATGCCTCTCCCTTCTGCGTCCATCCCCAGCTGACAGGACTGCTGGTTTCTGGATTGGAGATTATTCCCTGGCCCTAGATGATACCAGTCTGGTAGGCAGCCCGCTTTGCATGTTCCTTGAGGGCTGCCTGGGTTGGTGGAATGGAGTCATATGGTCTCTGCTTGCGGGAAAAGAGATTTAGTCTTGCCTCATCTCCACCAGTGGCTGCACTAGATCTGTCGTACATGAGGTCAACAAATCTTTCCAGCTTCTGCAGGTCAACATCAGCAACTGTTGTTGGACATTGGCTGAGTTTGGTGAATGATTCTGAAACTTCATCACAGACATTCCATGTCTGCCATGCAGAATTATTTCCTTTCCCACGGAAGGCAAACACAACGTCACAGCCAGTGAAAGCATGAAAGTATAGGATCCCACTAGCTTTCTTAGTCCCTATCGCAGAAACTACATCATGAACTGGAATCCATCGATGACTGGCTCCTTGGCCAAAGGCAATCCACATGTTATCAAGACCGAGTTCCTGTAGTGATGGCAGTACAGATACTGCTATGACAACCAAGTCAGTGTCATTGGCTTTGACGATGAGGGACTTGCTACCTTCCATTGCTGCATCCCTAGCATGCACAAATATTCATGTGTCTGTTTCCTCATGACAGCATGGAGCCACAACTTCTAGGGACTTCTCTGTGTTGCTAATGGCATCTTCTCCCTTTGTCACAACCACCATGCTTGTCATCTGTGCTTCACACATTTTCTCCGCGAGAAAATGGAATAGTTTTGTCTTGTTTTTGTCATCTTGCAGAAAGCTTCTCCAGTTTTGGGGAGTCTTACTGGTTCCTGTAGCTCTTCTCCTGATCCCCTGTCCTCGTTTCGACCTGGCTTCAGACTTCAGACTTGTCTTTTTGTACACATCAAACACTACATCCACCCTATTGTATTTGGCACCATAGAATTCCACTATGGGCAGGATGTCTTCTCTGGCATAGGCATCAAAAGCGTTGTTGAACAGAAGTCTGCAACTCTCATGACACTGTGCCTTGTTTCTCCTCAAGGTCTCCTCTATCCCATCATCTTCAACAAGTCTTGCAGGGTCAAGCTTGATTGGCAGTGCATTGATTGAATGAAATAGAGGAATATTCCTTGCCAAGCTCTTGTAACCGTCATCTCCTTTTTTGGCAGAATTTGCATGTGGAGACTTAAGATCTTCCTTCTTATCCCGTTGACAAAGACAACACTTTGCCCAGTCAGTGAGGAATGATTTGTTGGTAGATTTTATGTCCATAACTATTTTTGATCTTCAGGGCCGAGGATTTATCCTTTTGCCACCCTGATGGGCACTTTCTAGTATGGGATACAACTAGGTTCATGTCTTTTGCCCTACACCTAGTCCGATCGTTCATCCAGTGTCATTAATCCCGTGCGATCTGTACACCATCCAGATAACTAAAACCCCGTTATCCTTGGCTCGGCTCTCCCTCGCTGGCACATCCTGCCAATTCAGGTGCGGCTGCTTAACAGATTTGGGGTTGATTAAGCAGCATTTGGGACACTAAACTGTTGCAGTATGACATGCTTTTTCTTAGCTGACACTGAACCCAATGCTGGGTTGCACAGCAGTGATGTCACCAGTGTGCCCTGATAGTGCCCGACAATCACTCCCTCACATGCAGAGACCCTCTGTATGCTACCGTCACCTAGTTGGAAAAAACATAAAACCTGTACATAAAACCAGTCATAAATAAGACAAATATATATCTGAACGTATCAGAAATAGAAAAAATCATCTGAGCATGCTTGAAAACGTACATATCGACAGTAAGATCATTTAGATTGACCAACTACATCAATTTCTATAAAAAAAAATCATCTTTCGAAGGTCAATTTGGCAGCCATCTTGAAAAATAGCAGCCATCTTGGATTTCAAAATGGCCAATCAGGCAGGTTTGACAAGTTGCCCCAAGGGTACGATCATGCCAAATTTCATGCTTGTTTATGAGGTTTAACACACGTCATTCTAGAAAGTGTCCTTCAAGACCTTAAAAAACAACTCAATTTTCCACACCAGCCTCTAGTAGGCCTTCTTTCTTTCTTTCTTTCTTTTTCTAAACTTTTCTGATATTTGTATTATCAGTTCTCTTTAACTTTTCGTTAATTTCTTTCTTCTGTCCATATTTCTTTTTGCCTTAGTTTTGTCTTTTTTCTCTGTTTCTTAACCTATTTTTCGAAATTTTAAATTATGTAAAACAACTATCAACACACTGCAGTATTGTCTGTATCTTCTTCTATTTGTCCTGGAAACTGAAAAAGGACTACATCAAGGTGACAGACTTTCTCCAACTCTCTACATCTGTAATGGGAAATAATAAGCGTCACTTAGAAGGGAAGAAACATTGACTTCTACAATAAGTCACCTTTATGTTGCTGACGACATTATGACATTTGTAATAATCAAAAAAAGTTAAAACAATAATAATATAGAAATTAAATTAGGCTTAGTGAGTAAAGAGCTCGCCTCCTAATAGTCCTTGGTTAGCGGCCTTTGGTAGTGCACCCTTCAATGCTATAATGGATTTCTCTTTAATATTCAAAAGGATAGAATTAACACTGAACTCTACTAAACAAAAATGTCAACATGTTTACAAATCCCCACCTAATAGGAGAACTCATAACTCCATAGGAAGCCACACGTGTTGATTAGGACAACAGGTGGTAGAAAAGGTAAAAAAAAAAAAAACCTAAGTTCCGGAAACGTTTATGGCAGGTGTAAGACACAGTGACAGGTAAGGAAACGAACTGATAGTCTCAAATCAAAGTACGACTGCTTATTGTAGAGGGAAAGTGTCGATCAGATTTAACGACAAAAAAATCTTCAGGAAATGACCAGCTAATAGACGGGAGATGAAGTTAAGAAGTTTGAAGTACTCAGTAGACAGGCGAGGCTCATTCACGCTATACAGTATGTATACAAGCTATGACGAATAAGGTATATAAAGGGAGTGACAGAGAGAGAGAAAGAGAGAGTCGGTGCCTTAAATGAAAAAGAATAGACCTTGCTATTAACTACTCAGTCTGTGCTCACCCCTGAAGATGCGAATTAAGCGAAAGCGCTTGGGAACTTCGTGTTTTTTTTGTATGTGATTATCAACACACACACACACACACACACACACACACATATATATATATATATACATATATATATATATATATATATATATATATATATATATATATATATATATATATATATATGTATATATATATATATATATAATGTGTGTATATATATATATATATATATATATATATATATATATATATATATATATATATATATATATATATATATATATATATATATATATATATATATATATATATATATATATATATATATATATATATATATATATATACACACATATATATATATATATATATATATATATATATATATATATATATATATATATATATATATACTGTACATAGTCATATTACAATTTCTACCAAAACACTCTCCGTCTTCACTTCTCTTACTATACTTTTAACCACCACTACCTGGCCACAAATACCTCTGTGTCAAGAACAAATAATGTAACGTGACTTTGGGCGGAACCTGGCAGGTATATAAGGCTCTGGTCTGTTTAGTGAAGCAACAGTCCACTGCAAAGTTTACTGCCGTCATGACTACCAAGGTGGTTACCGTTCTTCACCCACACACACACACCCACACACCCACACACACCCACACCCCCCCCCACACACACACACCCATACACACACACACACACACACACACACACACACACACACACACACACAACTTTCAGTGTTCCAATAGGTCATGAAATAATCTGAGAACTTTAAAGTATTATGTGTTGTTATAAGTGTTGTGGTGTTATGTTTTTGTCCTGTAGGTTGTGTTTTTGGCCGCCCTAGTGGCTGCAGCCCTCGCCAGGCCTGACACTGCCAGTTCTTCACCTTACTCTGCTGCTGTCGCTTATCCTGACGTAAGTTGGTACTACAAGCATTATCTTGCAACTTGTAGAATTATGAATATTCATTGTGAATTAATTTTGCACAATAATTTCACTACCACAGATGACACTAATTTCTCAGCAATATGAAATAGTTTTTGGGAGGTCACGAAAACACATCGAAAACGGCAAAAGAAGGACTACAGGTTTGATATATAATATGTGGTAATGTTATAAATATTGTCTCTCTCCTACAGACGCCTCCCCAGTACAACACTCAGTTCGCTGTTAGGGACGAATTTGGCAACGACTTCAGTCAACAAGAATCCCGTGACGGCTACAACACCCAGGGCTCTTACACGGTGAACCTTCCTGACGGTCGTGTGCAGAGGGTGAATTACAGAGTCGACGGCGAATCCGGCTATGTGGCTGACGTGACCTACGAGGGTGAGGCACTGTACCCAGCCGCAGCACCCTCCTATACGCCAGCACCTACCTATACTTAAAGTGACCTGAAAATTTACGATTAATTGGGTGTAAATAATCATATTTATTTACTAATTTACTTTAATAAAAATAATTAGATACTATGGATACTCTCTATATCCTTTATATTGAGGTAGACATATACTGTACACCATATTAATCCAATAACCTTAAGGCACCTGATATATACTGTACATTTATTTCAAGGAAGTATTATGTAATATTTAGTATCATCTGGAATAGTACACATAGCATGGTGGTAATAAGAACATCTCAGAATGATACCACGGTTATCACATCGATATTTATTTATTTTATTAATTTCATTTTTTTTTTACATTTATATTCTAAGTATATACCTACTTTACAGTGAAGTCGATAATTATATATAAATATGATAAGGGGAGGAAGCATTACCACATGGGTTGTATTAAGGTGGAACAAGATGATATAGCTGTCAGTATCATGTCTTGTTGGCAAATATATTTATTGCAAGGTAATTTCTATCTATCTACATAATAATTTCTGATAAAACGGTTTTGGTGGGACAATAAAAGCAGGAATATAAAGTGGGCATTGCAAACAATATTAATACTTAGGCAATAGATAACTTTTAAGAGATGATTTAAAGGAAGGGAGCGTAGTCTCTGCTCGGATGGGGAGGGGGGGAATAAGTTCCACACATTCACACCATGATATTTTATAGAGGTCTGGGACTGAGGTGAGCGCATGAGGGTTGGTCTTAGTTGCTCTGGGGGTAAGTTTTTCCTTCTGTGAAAGATTGTGTAGTGTTTTTTTCGAGGTTTAAGGTCAGTTTATTACATATCACCCTGGTCCTGACCTTGGCCAATTCAGTGTTCATAGTTCTCATCGAAGAATGGAGGTCTGAGTTGCTGGCATAGAAATTACTATCGTTTGCAAGTAAGTTGTATTTTATGAGTATGCTGGAGTGGACTATGTCGTTTATGTACAACAAAAACTGTACAGGGCCGATATTGGAGCCTTGAGAGACGCCATACAAAATTGATGAGGAGTCAGATTGATGATTATTATAGCAGACATACTGCTTCCTATTAGACAGATATGAGGTAAACCAATTATGGGATAAGCCCCTAACGCCGTAATGTTCAAGCTTTGAAAGGAGGATGGTATGGTCGACAGTATCAAAGGTTTTAGAGAGGTCCAGGAATATACCGACTGTGAACTGAGTTTAAGATGTCATTAGTAAAGGGCAGCAGCAGAGCACTCTCAGTTGACCTTCTAGATCTAAATCCAAACTGAGAGTCTGTAAGGATGTTATTGACACTGCAGAATGAATTTAGTCTACTACATGCCAGCTTCTCCAGTATCTTACTTAAGGCTGGGAGGACTCATATGGGGAGTAATTCTTGAAAAGTACTTTGTCCCAGATTTTTTATATGCTGGGTGGACTTTAGCAGTTTTCAGTTTATACGGAAAGACACCACTAGTGAAGGAGGAGTTACAAATGTGTAGGAGAACAGGTAGTAATAAGTGGGCTACTTTCTTAATGATGCTCATTGGTATATTGTCTTCACCTGCTGCTGCATCTTTGAACATTTTTATGGGGGTCAATAATTCATCTGCTGTGACAGGGGATAAAAACAGCTCATTTTGCTATCTGTTTTGCAGGTAGGCTCTAAATTCCTCATGGTGATCAGGGATGCTCTCTGGAAGATTTTTGCCAACATTAATAAAATATTCATTGAAGTGGTTGGCAATGAGGGAGGGTTCCAGTATAACTGAATCATTTATCATAAAAGTTGAGTGGGGGGTTTTCTTATTGTTGCCCGATGCTGAGTCGAGCTTATTTATATAATATCTCCGTCTGGCATGCTTGAGTTACTCTATTTCTGATACTTCGGTAAGCATCACCGAAAGTTATGGGTCTTTTTGCAAATTTCCTTTGGAGTTTGTGTATTTCTTTTATTAATGCCTCGATTTCACCTGTAATATAGGGTTTGGAGACAGATACAGTTTTCACTGACTTATTCTTGAGGGGGAAGCATTTATCAAAGCAAGTATTGAAGATGCAAGAGAAGTTGCAGTTCTTCACGTTAGGGTTGTCGGAGGCATAGACAAAATCCCAATTAGCATTCCTTAGGTTGTTTTCAAAAAGGAGTTGTTGTCGGTGCAGTAGTCTCTGTATTGTACTGAGACTCTACTAGACCTTTCAGGTCTTGTGGCTGTTTTATACATGACAAAAACTGGGAAGTGATCTGCGATATTGTCATAAATAGTTCCACTTGCAAGATTGTTAGGAGTGTTGTTAGTCCAGATATGATCTATCACAGTGGCAGAGGTGGCAGTTACTTTAGTGGGTTTGGTTATAGTGTTGAAGAAGAGCTTAGAATGACAGGTAGCAAGAAGATCTAATACTGAGGTGTCGGTTTCTGATTTTAATAGATCAAGTTTGAAATCTCATGTAAAGTAGCAAAATTTCCTCTTTGAACTTAAGATAGAGATAAGCTCCGAAAATGTATCAAGATGTATTAAATGTTCCCTACATTAGTGTGGGGTCTTCTGTAGATTACTCCTACTAGGATATTTCATGTGTCGTTACGTAATTCAGTGAAAACACTCTCCATGTACGCCTCCTGACCCTTTGAATCATCTCTTACAGAAGTGTTATTCTTAATATCAACATATAGTACGACACCACCACTGTGTCGTGATGTGTTGACGCAGTGTCTATTATAATTAGGAATCTATGCAAATGTTCAATATCATTAGTGAGTTTGGTCTCACAGAACGCAAGTACATCAAATTTGTGGGCAATAGAAGATAAACACTGATCTAAAAAGGTATCTAGATGAAGGGGAATACTGCTGATGTTATGGGTAATCAAGGAGAAGGAATGAGGTAGTAGAAGACTAGAGCTAAACTCGGGAGAGTCAGGAAAGTAATAGTTACAGTTACAGTGAGTTTTGTAGAAAGGCATCAGGGTCAATATGAGGGAGTATTGTGTCGACACCATGGGTAAAGGGGGTGTAACACATACGATCCTGTACACCTAAGGGAACGACACTAGTATCGTCAGTGTAGGCATATTGGTACTGATTAAGGAACAGCAAAAACTCAGCGTCACTGAGGTGTGAAAAAGGAAGGTCAAAGAAAGTTATAATAGTGTGGGGGGGTAACGTACTTACAAGTGCTACAACTAACAGAATTGAGATGACTGGTACTGTTGAGGGTGATTCCCAGTTTGAGTGGGAGGTGCGCCTGTCACTTGGTTCTGAGGTTGCTAATTCCACTGCAGAGGCCGGCCGGCGGGGGAACTCCACACGTGATGGCCTGAATACGGGCAATGGCTGGTTCCTCCTCCGTCAAGAAGGAATCACGCAATTTTTTAAAAGGATGGTAAACAGACGGTGTGGGACTACAAAAATGCTTCGACCTGGGTACCTACTTATCTCTCGCCCAGTGTAGCTGAAGCTGGGAGTGCTAGAAGATTTAGGGAGTCTTCAAAATGTGATGTAAAAACATAAATATTATACTGTACTGAAAATTATTTATTGCAGATGACGTTTAAGCCACCTTAGTATAACTTTGAGATGACACTTGGTGAAGTTTCTTGCTTCACTTAATATGTCATTTGCCATCATAAAATATATCGTAAGTAGATTAGGAAAGGTTAGGTTAGGTTAGGTTAGATTAAATATGTTGTTTAGACGCCCTTCATTTAAAGATTATATTATGTTTATATTTGTTGTTGTCCCAATATATTCAGTTGTCTGATTTCACCGAGAAAAGTAATATGTAAAATTATCATTACATTTAATACTAATTAGGTTTATATATGAGTGGTTAGTTAATTCCTTTATAATACTTTAAAATCTTATCAACCTTATGACTATTTTAATTTCACTACATTGATTTTAGTCCTAATTTCTCTTACTACGCCATGAAAAGATTTTTACCTGGGATAAAATAATATAATTGTCAGCGTGACGTAACCTTGAACAGGGCTGCAGGTATATAAGGCACTAGTCTGTCTGGGAAAGCATCAGTTGCCCTCACCGTTCACTGCCGTCATGACTACCAAGGTGGATACACTTCTCTTTCACAAGTTTTGACAAGATTATATATGAATTTATAGTGTTAAATGCTTTTATAGTTTACTGCAACTTTTCCTATAATTGTAGGATATCGATGGTAGGTAAATATATGTTATAACAAGTGTTGTGGTCTCGCCCTTTAGGTTATGTTATTGGCCGCCCTTGTGGCTGCAGCCCTCGCTAGGCCTGACCGACAGTACAGCCCCCCCACTCCTGCATACAACACCCCAGCCCCCTCCTACAATGCCCCCGCTCACCCTAGACCTTCCTACTCTGCTGCTCCTGCTTATCCTGACGTAAGTTGGTACTACCAGATGTATCATGTAGCAATTTATATGGAAATGTGGTTTTGGTCGTTAAGTTACTTTATATATTAGTAACCTTACATAGTTTGTACGAGTCATATTAGTAGTTTCTAATTTATTTATTGACTCAACAATTTTTTGATTAAGAAAATGGAAATCATGCTAATAACGTTGTATATTTTACTTCACGTGATGCAGTATGAATAAAATATAGAAATAATCGGTTATGGCCACAACACATTGATAAAAATGCAATTATATTCAAGAATTCTAGAATAATAATCCTCTAACTGTTTTGATCACAGACTCCTCCCCAGTACAACACCCAGTACATCGTGAGAGATGATTACTCAAACAACGACTTCGGCCATGAAGAATCCCGTGACGGCTACAACACCCAGGGTACCTACTCCGTGCTGCTTCCCGACGGTCGTGTGCAGAGGGTGACTTACCACGTCGACGGTGACTCCGGCTACGTGGCTGAGGTGACCTACGAGGGTGAGGCCCTGTACCCAGCCTACCAGCCCGCCCCAGCACCCTCTTACAGGCCCTCTCCTGCGCCCTCCTACACGCCAGCACCCAGCTATGCCTAAATTGAATTGAAGATCTACAATGCATTGCTTATTGACCATTGGATTAACAAACCAACTGACACGAATAAAAAATAATTTATCGATTTCATAGTTTTAAATTCTTCCTAGAATGAAGAATATATCTCCCCAC